TTTAACACCAATCTTGGGCTGCAAAATAAAACCTAGGTCAGAAGTATTGATTACTTGGCATTCACTGCTGACAGTGTCAAATAGGTGAAGAAGATGAAAACCTACCTTGAAAGCATAGTTACGAAGGTTATTTAAAATAAAACAAAACAAAGGCCTGAAATGTCAAAGACAACTGTAAGAGAAAGGGTTGGACTGTACTCAACATTGCATTGCCACTGGACTTCTTGAACCTGTGTCAAATGCTAGAAATAAATTTACCTTCAGCTGCAATTGAGGATTCCTTTTTTCCAGATAACATTGCAGCCAGATAAAAGCAGATCTGTCAGCTTCACAGGTGGTAGGAACTAAAAAATCATGGCCATTGAGGAGACAGGAGGCTGGACTTAAACCTTCAGGAAGATTTTCCAATAGGGATGCTCCTGTTCAGAAGGAATGTGTCTATTTATGCTACAATCATTCTGTGATATGTTGTCTGTGTTTTATATGACACTTTCAGAAATATATCAAAATACATCTGGTTTATCTTTTACTGAGTTCTGATGGATTATCAGAGGTACCTATGCCCACTGTATGTATTTATATATATAAATAGATATAAATATATAATACAAATGTATACATGACTTCGGGATTTACCTATTTTTTTTCTTTTTTTTTTTTCCCCAGGGAGAAAGTAAATCTATTACAACAGCAGAAGGTAACTTTCAACTCCAACATCCATGAGTTTCCAACCGACCAGTTTGTGGCCAAAAATGCCACAGTGTGAGAATCCATTCCATAACAGTGGAACACTAATTCTGAGCCACAAGAGGCCACCCAGCAGTGCCTGAGGTGATGTTCATCCCATGCTCACAGGGGATACAAGTGTAGGCAGCTTTCAAGTCGCCCGTAGTTCAACACAATTAAGTGAAATTCAGTGGTACATAAACCACACACAGGCTGCTGACACAGGACTAACATGTGCTCTGCACATAAAATACAAGCTTGCTGCTGAGCAATGAAGAAAGTGAAGGAAGAAAACACAGCAAAGAGCAGAAATGAGGACATTTCTAATTAATATGGTGGTTTATCAGCAATTTCACTCTAAGATACCAGCTCAATAGAGTCAAGGTTTCTGCTTTCACCACTGAGCTGCTGTTTGGATGAGTGTTTGTTGCTGTTTCCAATTTCATCCTGCCTGAAACAGAAGCTTCTGTGGTTGGTAGCACTGAAAAAACAAATTAAAAATTTGAAAAGTTATCTTAGTGGAAAATATTCACTCATATACCACAGCTTTGGTTTGGGTCAGGCTTCCTTTGACAGTCTCAATTTAACCTTTTGTATCCTAGATTTTCCATTCTCCATACTTACTCTTAGGGAGCACCACCACAGGTTCACTGGGTTGCAGACTCAAAGGAGCTCAGATGATCAACATAACTGCACCACATGAGGAGGATGTTCCCAGGACAAGTATATCCTGCATTTCCATGAATATTAGCTACCTCTGAATTAAGCAGCTAATTGCTGGGAGCTGCACAGTCACACCACTGGGCACTCAGATGGACTCAGCAACTCTGCTGAGGAGCAGAACTGCCTGGCAAAGGCCCACACCACAGACACTGTGCCATTCCTGCCACTAGCACTGTCTCAGTTAACTTTGTACAGCATCACTCTGCAACACAATTATATTTGTGTGATTATGAAATGGCACAAAGGTCAAGGGTTTGCTGCTGATCAAATTTAGAGGTCAGCACCAGACTCCACTGTGGTCAACTTCGCACAGTCAGTCTAAGGAGGCTGCTTTACCTTCAGAGCAATTTTTTAAGCAATAGAAATCCAATCTAGTGAAATAACTGTCACAGAAGGATGTAGTGAAGTGTTGATGGCAGCATAAATGACCACTTAGGTCTGGAAGACCTCGTCACCTCTTCCTAGGTTTCCTGGGCTCAAAGTCAGTCACACATACTTTAAATCATTCATATGAGAAACTCAAAGATTTTGAGTGTAACCCTCATTGTCATGTAAAAATAAAATAAAAATATCTACACCAAGAGGATCATCAGGAACTCAGCAGAAGCTGCTGCTTTCATCACATTTTAGCATTTCTAGAACAGGCTACTGGACCCCAGCCCAGGCTCTCTTTGAGCTTACCAGGAGCTGGGAAACCCAGTCTCCCCTGCCTTGAATAGCCCTTCTGCTCTTCAAAGTCCATATCCTCAGGAAGGCAGAGTTGTACCTTTGAGAATAAGAGGAGCTAATAAGGAGCCTCTGCACAGGCTGTGAAATCAATGGGACCAGTGAGACACTGATGCAGGATTTTGCCATTGTGAAAACAGCTGCTTCTGTCTCCAGATCCAAACTGAGCTCTGTGACATCCCAGCAGCAGCTACACCTGATTTCAGGACTAAACTCTCCATTCAACTGCTGCCTCGTATACAGCAAGCAAAGATCACAGAGCTAATAAAAAGTTACACATCGAGCAGCTGTACTAATATGGTTCCCATTAACTTCTCTCCCCTCTGCCCCCCAAAAGCCTTCTAACTCCTGGTTTCCTCTCAGCTTGTAGTGAATTGTGCTGACACAGGTAAAGAGGCAAATAGCAGCAACCATTTGCTCTCTTGCACTGATTCTGCCACAGAGAAGCACAAACAAAGCCTTCAAAAGGCCTGATCCAACCCCTGTCTGGAAAGCCAACCCCATTCTCACCAAGCACATAAGTAACACATGTCTAAAGAAAGGTCAAACATCTGTGGGTAAGACATACATAATCCTCCACAAACCCACCAATTCATCATCCTTGAGCAAATAATATAGATATTTTACTATTAAGGATTTAATTTCTTAGTTCAGCCAGGAATTTACATTAGTTACTCCAGGAAACCTAGTGGGGGAGGGAATTGTGAAGGCAATAGCAGAAGCTGCATGTGCTTAAACCACTTGTGTAAATCTCTGTACAAAGCCATACATCCTGAATGCTGGGGGAAGGCAACTGTGATAGAGAGCATCTGGTTTGGGAGGAGCTGTAGCACAATGAACTCTTTAAAGTGACAACCCAAGTATGGCAAAGTGCATTGCTCAGATGAAGCCCACATGCTACTGCTGTTAGGAGATATGCTCCATGGAAAATGAAAATTAAACTGAACAGTTTGGCAGGGTGGAAATTTTGTGAAAATTTCCTAGTTGTGTGCAATAAAGAAAATTAATTTGAACACGGGAGGAGAAAATAACTCAGAAAGTGATTTAATGGTCCTACAGGATGGTCCAAACCCTCAAAGCCTCCAAGATGGGAAATATTTAGCATTCCACCACTCCAAAAAATCACTTCCTTGGACTAAAGACCCTGGGTCACAAGTTATTAGAAAGCTCCAAGAAAAGGATGGCATTGCAGTCGTCTGGGTGCTGGGAAAAAAATCTTTCTGTCACGTGTAGGCCAAAAGCAACCACATACAAAAAAACCAAAATTGAATTTGGGGAGATACAGGCCTGCAGAAATAACCAAATGCTGTTTTGATCTGTGCTTAGGTAGGAGAGAAGGAATGAGGAGTGGTCAGACGTTTGGGCTGTGCTGTCAGAAGACGTGCTGTAGCCAGGCTTCACAAGGTATTTTTCTCAGCTTTCTTTGTATCATAAGAACAACAGCAACAACAAAGAGAACAACTAGGAAAGACTCAGCAAACATGGCACGGGGGCAGGAGGATGAGGTGTCATACAAAATAAATAAAGAGCAGTGAGCCAGACCACATCAATAATGCAGGGCAGCAGGAATGTCCAGGAGTGAGCCTGTGCAAGGCTTCTGCAATTAAGAAAAGAAAATCCTTTGACTTCGTGGCACGTCTCCTGAGATGCATATCCCATGGCTACAATTAAAAATATTGTTTGGCTTGGTTGACCCTTTCTGCACACATACCCTGAGCTTTTAAAGTATTTGTTTTTTAAGGTGAAAGGAAGAGATCATGATGGTAAAAGAGGTCAGGTCTGGAACTGAACTGAACTGGAAGTTGCTGCTGGCAAATTTCACTTAACTTTTTTTTTCTGAACTGCTAACTTGACTGTTAAAAAAAAAAAAGACAAAATTATTTTCTTTCAAGGCCAGATTCATATTGGCTTTTCTCTTCTGTTTATCAGTAGATTTAATTTTAGTAATTTGATTTAATTAAAATCAGTGTACATATCTTTTCAGCTTAACACCTTCAAATGTTCAGAACACAGATGGACATCCAACAACCAGGAGGGCTCTCACGATGGAGCCTAAATGCTCTCACAGCTACTTACAGTCATGCCCTGCCTTTTCCAACATTAGCCACAAACTTTGCAAGACTACCATAAGAAAGTGAGAAGCCACAGGCAACCATTTAGTGAAAAATAGTAACATAATACCTCTGGTTTTCTCTCTCTATTACTCAGTGACCTACAGCACTGGCAGCAATGTGTGTAAAACTACATCTCTGGCACAGTGCTATGTGTTTCCTACAGCCTTCCACGCAATTCTACCCAAACTACTTGAATACATGAATTTATTTCTTTCTGCAGTTGGTATAAATCAACCTAGCTCCAATAGAGCTAATAGAACTATACTGATTTATGCCAGCATACATTTTAATTTAAAAAAAGTTTACCGAGCCACAATTTGATGCAGAGACATCATTGATTGTTTTCCCTTTCTGCAACTTTTCTTCCCTTATGTAAAGTAACAGCAGAAAGTTCACAGTGAGGAATGTAAAGTGGCATGGGCACACCAAGAAAAGGAATCTGATGTTCACAGAAGATGCATAATAGTGCTGATCGTGCTCATTTTATAAATTGCTTTTCTAATCCCTCCATATTTCTGTATTCCATCAACCAAACTAACATCATTAATATTACTTAAGCTTTGAGAGGTGTAGATTTTCAGAGGCCATGGGTTTCCTATGAGAGTTTATTTTACAAAAAGTCTCCTCTTTTCCATTATACTGAAAACTAAAAAAAAACCAACAGGTTGATTATGGCATTCCATCATATAAATATGAACAAAAGAGAAATACCTGTCCATTGGTCTGGAGGTGTCTGGCCTTCCATTGCTCACCTTCCCATGGCATTTGAATGCACTGCAGTAATCACTTCTCAGTTTTTTCTCAGCTCTTGGAAGACAGCATGTCATGACCCAATGATTTTTTAAAAGGAATTGAAAAAGTAAGTCTGAATAGTTTGAGAATAAATTACTCCAACATGAAATGAGCTCTTATTCACCAACACTTACAAATAGCTTAAGCAAAGATAAAATAATGTGTATCATAATTAATATTTTAATTTGCTAAGAAAAGCTAAATAGTGATTAAACCCCTTCCCTTCCCCCTTCCCCTGATAATAATGAAGAGGCAGTTTCCAGAGAAGCAGAGCAGCCAGGAGCTTAATGTGGTTGATTAAGAACATGTTTCCATGGTGGCTATTATGTCCCTCTTTAAAAGAGGAAAACAAAACCGAGCCTTATTTCCTTTTAGAACTACAGGGTTTCTTCTGTCTTCATGAGACAGACAACAAGAAAATGTTTAGGGATAATTAAAGGCAATTAGGCTCATCAAGGCTCATTTCTGGTCTAGCTCCACTTCTCTTCCCTACAATGAGTACTAATTGCTGCTTCAACATCCCAAGTAGCATGGATTACTTTTTTTTTTTTTTGTACTTCCACAACAAGACTATTTGGTCATTACCAGCTTTGACAGTGAGAATAAGTGACTCTTGATTAGCTTTTTGTTTGCTTTTTTAAAGATTTATACAACGTCCTATTGAATCTGATAATAGAGAATAACAAATTAGCACACAGCAATTGTGTACTACCTTCTGCTAGAGGATCTCCAAGTTCTTTTGAAACATTAATGAATTAATTCTCCATACTGTTGTGTATAATGGGTATCATCATCATCACTTTGCGGACTACTGAACACAGACACAAAGAGGTTGGGTGGCACATTTAGTGTCACAGTCAACATGTTATGATGTTGGTCTCCTGATCATACACAACGGAAATATTGGCTTGTTTGCCATAAACATGCCTCCTGTGTACCTTCTGTTACATCTGGGTTTGATTCATTGACAGTCAGGTAATTTAAGGTATTCAAATGCCTAAACTTCAAAGAAAGTTTCCAGAGGGAAATTAATAAAAGGCAGATACCCAGAACTACATAAAGAAATATTCAAGTGCTTCTATATTAAGTGTTGCAGGAGAGGATATTGGGGAGTTCAGTCATTGGAAGCAGAAAAGGTTCATTACCACAGCTCTAGGATTATGAATTCCTGACAGAGCAGCAATGACTGCTCAGCTCCCACAGACCCCTCGTGTAAAACTGCAACCCACCTGCCCAACCCAACAGCTCTGCAGCCCTGGAAGCACTTGGTTCACACACACACTCAATTTTTCCACCAGAAAGTGTCTTTCTTTAATGCTTCAAAGTCCAGAACAACCAAAGAAGAAACTTGGAAGAATCACAGAATATTCTCACTTGGAAGGGACCCACAAGGATCATCTCATGCATGACTTTAGGATTTTGGATATGCTTTCTTGACTTTGAACATTTTTGAACATAAATCAGCATTAATCAACAACACCTCCTGCAGCACTCAGAAATGGCTAAGGTTGCTTGCATGGACAGCACAGAACAGACTCAGCTGACACACTGATTTCACTTCTTTGTACTCAGCAATTTGTTCACGCATCACACATCCAGTACCTGTGTATGAAATAGGTGCCAAATCCCCACCAAAGTCCAGTCTGGATCCACAAATTAGGCAACTGTTTGATCTTCTTATCTTCTAGACCTGTCTAATAAATACAAGCAATAGGTTAGGCTTCTCAAAGACCAGGAGTGCTCATCCATCACATGTAAAACCTGGATACAATTCTCTGCCTTGAAGGGACTTAGGCTCACATGTCCAACCTCCCACCCCCCTATTTAAAAAGCCATAAGGGGGAGGAAAACAGTTACTTAACTCTTGTTGAAAATGTTTTGTTTTGAAAAACATTTAATAATTAAAAATAAAACAAAGAGCAATACCTTTGCCACTTGCAAACTGCCCACAGTGCCAGCTGTACCCCTGCTGGTGGCTGGCACACCGTTTCAGAGGCAAGAGAAGGGCCCAGCTCCAGAGAGGATGAGGAGAGGAGTGTACCCAGTCTGACACATGCTGGCTGACTGCTCTGGCTACACAAACACCACGGTGTCAGCCCCCATTCCACTGTGCTGAGAAGGGGTTTGGGATCCCAGCGTTTCACAGACATGACAACACACACAGGTCACTCCAGGCAGCTTCAGTGGCACAGGAATTTCCTGTATCACCTGACTCTGTGTCTATGAAAACCCACCCAACAGCAGGATCGTGCTGCTACTTCATTGTCTTTCACAAACACTGTTCACAACAGTTCTGCAGCTTTTAAGTGTTCCAATTCTTCTCTGCTCCCCATAACTCGAGACATAGGATTATTACTGACATTAGTTTAGCTACACCTACTTATGGTTTCTCTAGGGTCTTGAACAACAACAAAGGAAACAATATGGACACCAGGTGTTCTGCAAGTATTTTAGCTGGTACCTTAATGTTCATATGGAAAGGGATTATATGCAGTTTAAATAGACGTGGCATTACCACTTCCTGTGGTGAATTTCTTCAAGTTAAAGGGTTTATTTGGTGCAGAAAACTATGCATTACAACAGACACAGTGCAGAGAAGCAGTATGGCTGGAAATTTCAAGCAGTAAGCTGTGCTTTTGTACCACAAAACGGTGAGGTTGAGAGCTGCAATCTCTGGCTCCAAGCACAGCTGTCTCTGCTGCTTTTCATCAGTCTTTGCTCAAGGTAAATAAGAAAGACCATGAAAAATGTCTTGGCTGTGATCAGACCATTTCTCTCCTAATAATAAAAATGAATGATCTGCACAACCTTTACTGGTTCAACTAAACCCAAGCAATAATTAAGTTGCTTAAATCAGAATGAATTTTCTACCCACTTACATCCTAGACCTCAGTATACCTTCGTTCTTCCGGACAGTTATATCTCCCCAAAGATATTAATATAACTTCAAATGGCCTGTCTGAGAAAAATGGCACAAACCTTGCTTTGCAGCTTTGCATATGAGAGTGTAGTATATTTACAACTCTCAATCAGGTGTGTTTTAGGATGAAAAAGCGGGATGATTTTCTTTTTCTCCAATGAACTTCAGTGTATTATACAGGCATTGTGAAAGCAAGAAGAACCCACTTGGATTTTCTTAATAAAAGGAGTATGATTTAATAAAAGAATATAACACCTCTCGAAATGGCCAGAGATGAGTAAGAGTGCTTGCCCCATTTCAATAAAAGAAATATTTCCCTCACTTCTCCCAAGCTGCTCCCATTCTCAGCCCATGCTCTTCCACACCAGCAGTGTCCTGGTGCAGCCACAGGATTGGCTACATGGGGCACTGGATTCCTTTGGTTCCATGTCATTTATAACCAGGAATCCCGGCTGCTTTTAATCCAGGACTCCCTGAACACCACATGGTGGAAGGCTCTGTGGAATTCGCCCTGTGCAAACCCTCCCATGGTTCTGCCCCTGGAGTGCAGGATCCAGGCAGGTTTGTACAGCAGACAGAGTCAGTCTGCCAGTGTTGGTGTTCTCTGCATGAGCTGCTGAGCTCTGCCCAGTTCACCCACTGCTTTCCACTGCTTTGGAGGCATTTTCTAGCAGAAGGTTTATGTTTTCTGATGATGACAACTTGAGGTCTCCTTTCACTATTCCAACAGCTACATAAGTGTAATTCTTTTGGGGCAAATAATCAAGAATCCTATTACTTTTCTCCTATCCAGAAATTCATTTAAGGCTCACATATTTTGATGTTTTTATACCCCCAGCCTTTCAGCCCCTGTATCACACCTCCAGCAAGGCACTGAGCATTACCCCCAAGCTGACTGCAAACATCATGGCCTTTTATTCAATTACTTTGACATGGGGTCCCTATGGAAGTTTATGAGGAGGCAATTTCAAGACCTACATCACATGAATCCAGTATTCTAAACATTCTTCCCTTCCTTTGCCTTTCTTACGTGTCCAAATCAGTTTTGCTCTTCATGGGCTGTCTGTGGTGTTCCTGCAGGCAGGAGCCCGTGGCTCTCACATCCCCACAGCACACACAGATCCAGCACAATTTGGGCTGTGCACACTTGGTATCATTCTTAAAAAAAACACCAAAACAAAACCGCTTTCTATTCTGCTTCCCAAAACAATTCTTTACGTAAATATGACCTTAGTACTTACGATGAAATGTATTTTTGACACCTCTCCAAAAGCCTATGAAAGGGACAAGTAACATATTGCCATGCTGTAATTAAGGGTAGGCATCCATATTTTATTTAAAATGAATGGGGATTTTAGAATAAAGGCTACAGGACATCTGGTGCCTCTCACAGAAATCCCCCATACTGGGAAACAAAGCACATATTGATCTATCAGATGGAGGCAGTACAAAAAGGGCAAAAATTATAATAACTGGGGGAAAAGTGCTTCAGATTTCTGCTTCTAGCTCCCAAGTAGGGTACCTCCATTTTTTATAATAGGTTTTACCACATATTTTTTACTTTACTAATTAATATATTCTAGGGATGCAGAAGCTGGGCACAATATGAGTAGATACACAGCAATACAGCAGGAGTGATTTACAGCATGTAATTTCTGTGAAACAAATCAGCACCTGACCTACAGTATCTATATTTTTATCTGTCTGAAGGAGATAACATTGTTTGTGAAGTACATCACATTTTTTATCTTGCTGTTACACAGATTTCCCTTGAAATGACTGGCTCTTGTATCACTTGTGAATGGATGGAAGAAAGGGAAGAAACTTAGCATGAGAGCTTTCCTCCTCACAAATACAGCCTTAATTCGACTTCACCTAGTGAAACAACTCTGTTATTAATAGTTCTTGAAGAGATCCCTAGCATTTTATTTTTAATTTGTCCATGATCAGAATCCAGATTATGCTCCATGATCATAATGTTGATTGCTGAAGTCACTCATATATTTCAATTGCAATTATTACTCAGTCACATGAGTAATTACTGGGAGAATTTCCTTTAATCCTGAAACTTTTCAGAGGCCCTTTCAGCCTTCAGCTTCTAACTCAGTTAAATGCTGAACTTCTATTCTGCCCCTCCTGTTCTTCCCTGACAGTTTTACTCTTGCTGTTGTTCTCATTGAGTGGCCTGGTTTCAGGACACATTTGAGACCATTAACATCACAACATGGAGAAGGTGATGAAAGTTGTTAAAATGTAAATTCTGTTATGTAAATATTTCCCCCCATTTTACTATAACGCCAATAAAGGGAAAAAAAGGCCCAGAAATGCCAAATTAAATACCACTAGAATAAAATTAACAGAAACCAGCTGGAAAGACTTACGAATTTAGATTTTCTTCCAGTTTGCTTTGGGATTTTAATTTTTTCTTTAAAGATGGATCTATCAGTCAGAAATTTGAAGTGACTATCCATGGAAAACTGGAATGGAAAAAGAAAACATGACAAAAAGTGAGGGAAGTCTTGAGGCACCACAGAAGAAAGCAACCCACTGCATTTCACTGAGGTGAAAGTGTCAGAGGCCAGCTCTTTCAGTGTGTTTATTTGGTTTCTTAAACAGATAAAGAATTTTAGAGGGTGGGTACAAACATATCAGCTGAGCATTTTGCATATACCCCTGATTAGTCAGGGCAGTTATTTAAATTTGCAGCCACAAACAGCATATCTGCAATATAAACAGGCACACAGAATTCTGAGCATATCATGCATAATTAAAGAAAAAAAAATTGGCCAATTATTTCTTTCCCGATGAGTTTTCCTTAAGAAACAACAATCTTAGAAATGTCTATAAGCATTACAATTAAAAATCAAACCAAAACAATTCTTCTATAACTGATTTTTTTCTTTCAGGATAAAACAGGCACAGCCAGTGTAGTACTTTTCTTGCTGCCTTTACTCTCAAGCTTTCCCAGGATACTGTATCTAGTCAGACCCCATTAAAACCATCAACAAACAGAAATGTGTTTAACCTGGATTTAAACCCACAGCCTGATCCAGCGTTTGAGATCTTGGCCAGGAGTTTGTTCCACAGTCACCATCCACAATGACTGAGAGGTCAGAGCTGCTTTGCTGCTCACAAGTGCAAACACAACAGCCAATGTCCCCGAGTTCACTGGCTGCCAACTGCCAGGCCAAGGTTTGTTTTCAGCAGGGCAGGAAGATTAAAACAACTCAGGAAACTCGGCCAGAGGACAGGGCTGAGCAGAGCCTGCAGGAAGTCATTACTCTGTGCTACTGTACTCCCTCTGCCTCCCTGCGCTCTTCCACTTCTTCGTCTGCTTAATTGTAAATCACCCTCCACTCCCGGGGCTGCTTTAGTTTCCTTGTACCAGCGAGGCAACCCCAAAGTGCTGGTGCTGAATTCCAGTGCCAGCACGGGACGTGCCCGAGCTTCAGAGCGCTCTGAGCGCTGGGGACATTACAGAGCTTGTTAAGGTAAAATCTTCTTTGTGTTACACTTTTGCCGTACGTTTTACAAAAATCTACCCCAGGGAGCCAAGGGGCAGTTGCTTCTTTATTACATTTTAGGAGAGACACATTATTAGCGTTCCAGTCTATATATTATGAAATTAAGTGGATACCCTTGGGGTTAATTCCTTGTTGTAATTGTAATGAAAAGAAACAATTTCTAACCCTCCATTTAAGATCTATAACTATTAAAATCCACTAGTCTTAGTGACTCCTGGGGCCAGTGAAGTACTTCAGCGTATATGAAAAAGGGTACTCCCACAGTGTCCAATATAAGTAATTTATAAAAATAACAGCCTCCAAGTGGGAAAACTAACAAATGAGTTTCCATTGAGCCCCTCCCTGCTGTTTACTATTGCCTGCTGGATTCATCAACTACGTAAAATTACATGCATATCGAAATCACGGAGCTGGCTTCCAAGATTATAGTTTGCCAAGAATAAGAAAGGTAGAGCAGGAATCACAGAGTACAGTGACTAAGCACAAGGTAAAAATCATGCAATACAGCCACAGAGAATCCTCTCAGAAAAAAAAAAAAATAATTAAAAAGCAACACTTTTTTTCAGAAGCTTCTCTGAAAAATGATACCACTTGCTTCAATAAATTTTAAATGATAATAAAGCACTTCTTTTTAAATAATCAAAAATTAACCATCTCTTTCAAAAGCATTGACTTTCCTCTGAAAATCCTTCGTTTGTTCAGTTTGTGAGATGCACAGCAGTAACAATGCTATTGCCTGTTTTTATTGTGTATGTTGCTGTACTTTCTGTGAGAATTTCCACTCACCAGTGTTTCCTGCTGACTCTAACCCTGCCAGCTTTCATGTCACCACATGTGTCAGGTTGCACCATCTCACCTACACACTTGTACCCCTTTCCACTTTTCGTGATGCCCAAAACAGGGTAAAACGTTTTCATTAAATGAGATGAGAAAAAATGGATTTAAAAACCACAGCAGCTAAGGATGCAGGAATAGTGTGCTACAGGAACCTGCTGTTAAATCATTTTTATGAACTGACTAGGTTTCAATTTGACTGCAAAGCTTTAGCATGTAATTCAGTTTGTCAGCAGCGAAATAAAACATACATCATCAGATAGTGCCTCCCAATTTAATATGCTTATTAGGATCATTGTTTCTATTAAGCTGAAAATCATATAAGTGCATTATTGTCTAACACAGCATAAACTCCCATTTGGAATGCATGCATGATCAATGGACATACTAATTTAATAGCAGGAGAGTTTTCTAGTACTTTGCTAGAACTGCACTGTGAAAAAGAACACCCCTTTAAGATTTCAGGAATGGTCTTTTTGATAAAGGTACTTGTTTAGCTGCAGCTGAAATAGCTTTAATACCACTTATCTCTCTGTTTTTATTCATCATAATATAAACTCCCATAGAAGAAAAGAAAAGGGAAGGAAACGAAGACATGAAAGAAAGAAATAGTCGTTGTTTTTAAATCGACCATTCTCTTGGCTAATAAAATATGCTGTAAGTTGCTCTGTACAGAGGAGTTCAGGCCCTATTGGTTATTTTAAGGGAAAGAAGGAACGAGGCCTCATTTCATACGTTAGCAACCAGCAAAAATGGGGTTATTTTTTTAGGTATTTATTGCAAATTCATGTTAATATGTCACCTGTTGCAACTGGGGAGCCATGCTGGAGAATGCCCTTGTTTCTCAGTGTTTACAAACCATCTACAAGCTTGATCCTTCCCAGCTGGTGCTTTCTCCAGCCATCACCCCAGTGAAACCAGCACTGCCACCTCAGGCTTTCTGAGTGACAGCAAACTGCCAGCTTGCAAGGACACGGGCCTGTTACTCTTGGAAGGGATTACAGAAAGTTCTAATGCAATAAATGGCAATAGAAGGTGGAATTGGAAGGCTGATGAGGAACTGGAAACACTTTCATTTTTACCACTGGCATGGTTTGATGTGCTCACTCGATGGGTCTTTAAAGTGCTGATTTTCTGAACTCACACAAGATGAGCAGGTGGCCTCCATCCTCCACCCCCTGGGCAGGTGTTGGGATCACACCTAATGAGGCCAAACAGCCACTGTCAACAGAAGGCTGCAAGTTTAACACTCTTCATGATCATTACATCTCTTTGAATAAATCAGGAGCTGTTCAGAAAATACATGACTATCCCTAGGAACTAGAACACTTTCTAATATTGATCATGCAGATGGTAGGAAGGGCTGCACTTCTCTAAGCCAGTTGCTAATTATCCCATATCAAATATGGATAGGATGACTGCTGGGCAAATAACTGACTAAAATGTTGATACTGGGAACCTCAGCAAGAATTGGAAATCATTAAAAATTAATCAGGGAGCTCTGACATTTGAACTCCTCATTGTTTCTTCTTTATGCCTTCATAGAAATGGGTTTATTCAAATTTATCTGCACGTCCCTGCAATTTCACTGCTGATCATGTACTGAAGGGAGCTTTCCTGAGCACTGATGAGTGTGGGCTGCTGGAAACCATTGTCCTAATTTGCAACAGGAAGCAGATCCATTTTAGTCTAGCATTAAAAGTAGTACACATAATTTTGACATTAAAGTGCTACCAACAAAGTCATATAAGTGCTAAAAATAGGCCTTTTTATATGTGAGAGAGCATGCACAGGGTGAATGTAAAATCTTTTTAACAGACAAAGATGATACAATACCCCCGAGATACCTATTTATTTTGATAGTTATAGTTGAGATTTTATTTGTACTGTGCACTGCATTTAGTTAAGGCAAAAGTCATACGAGGAAGCTGAAAATAAACATAAAACATAGCACATATGCTAACATTAGATTTCAGCTTGAGTAACTACAGTATAACTGCCTAAAATTTATTATAATTTCAATTTCAGAATGTACTCTTTACTTTTTCTTACTCATATTCCTTACTTCTGCAAATATAAACATGACTACATTTATGAAATAATTTATTCACCGTATGTACATTTGCCAGCTCTGAATGGCAAATATATACACATATTTTTATACATATGTGTATATAAAATTATCAATATTACTTGCCTAATATTGATCAGTAAACTGGCAAAAAAATCAAAGCAAAGAGCCATATTGGAGCATTCTAATAATGTAGAGACATGATTATGTTTAGTTTTTATTTATGAAATAATGACCAAAATTAGGAATTTCCTTCTTGTAGAAAAAAACCCTGACCAACCAAACAAAAAGAAACATTCCATTTTAATGGCTTTTTAAAAAAAACTTGACATTTTAGCTACTGATGTAATCTCTTCTGAATATATTCCTAACCTACACAGATGTATTTTTCAGACTGGACTTTGTGGAAGAGGAAAAATTCACAAGGTAGAACCTGTTTTGTCCTAATGTTCCCTCTCAAACCATAAAACCAAGAAAGGCTGCAGTGCCCTTGGCTTGCAATGGAAATTGGTAAAACATTTGTAGATAGTGAAAAGGCCAATAAAAGACCCAGCACTGGCTGATTCAGTGAAAATCAGTATAAAATTTTTCTATTGAAGAGAAACTATTTGTTTCCTTATATAAGCAAACAAGTCACTCGTATTTGCTGTTACACCCTAATTGCAAAGTCACAGACAAAAGGCACAAAGTAAGAACAAATATCACTCCAGAACCTAACTTGTTTCACCACTCACCTGGGAGAAGGGAATTCTGGCTTCCAGTTCCTGCATTCAGTGATTTTGGATTGTCTCCATCCTGAATTCCTCCTCGCCACGTGGGATCCATCGACGAGCCGGGCAGGAAGGGAGGGCAGCATTCCCACATTCCCGATGGTCCCTCAGCACCACTGCACCCTCAGGTAAAATCAGGCACCTGCTAAAGGGGTGCAGCCTGGACCAAAGGGCCCACTGGGATTGCCTGATGCCTTTGACCCTCTGGGGAAATAAGGGGGAGACCCAATGCACACAACAATGATTTAAATCCATACCTGAACTCCTGGATCCAGGGGCACA